GTTGGACTATTACTGCGCGGAATCCGATACGTATGCGAATTACTAGTCCGAGTACGAACCACATCATAGCACGGATATCTAATTGGCTAATTAGAGCTCAGTTAGTAATGATGACAGGGGTGAGCAAACAGAACAAACGAATATGACAAGAATAAAGATAGTCCCGGACGAGAACACAAAGGTCAAATGGACAATGTTCCAGAGCTGAGCAGATTAAATGAAGGTTGTGAGCTAAGACGAGAGAGCGGGATGAAGTTACGTAATGTACGGTAGAAACTATGGGTAATGCATAGCAAGTGATGTAATCAGGAAGGGACACTAGAGACAAAAACAGAATGATTAGTTCTCAAGATTGAGGTTAGTGATACTAGAGGAAGAACAGGGGTTGGGGAGGGGGGCTTGATGCTCTGTTTTATGCACAATCAATCCGCTGTCCAGGCCAGGGTAACAACAGTGTCTGGACCAGCTTCTTTTGCTCACATAATTCTGGATTGAAAATGTGAATTGCAATCGCTTTGGCCGTAGTTCAAAGCCGCCTTCTTATCCCCTTGGAATATCTTCGGGATAAAGTGTGAATAATTTTGAATGCATCCAATTTGTTCACAAAATGCCCGCTATTGAAGAGATGACCGAGAACCGAGCCGCAAATACATCTAACTTGTAGTGTGCGATACATTGGACATACCACCAGGCGATTATCAAAACGTATTGCTAAGCACTGTCCTGCGGCCCTCTGCAAAGCAACTAAACTACTGAGGAAAACGGGATTTCAAAAAGTGTATCACTGGCAGTATACGATAGGTTCATATCGCGGTCACTGGAGTGCAACGAACCTCAAGGCTTCCGTTCAGACTTTGTCACTGGAATTTATCTTTGCTGAATAACAGCTTTACTTTCATCCGGCTAGACCCTGCACCCATCCGATGGCGGCACAATGTGGCTGGTAACTCCAAGTCATTTTTCGTTGCTTTACAAGATGGAACCATAGATCTCCAGAACTGCCGTCTAAGCCCCTCTCACCTTTGGTACGATAGTAACATAAGCTATCATCGATCAAACGGAAATGAAATTTCCAACGAACTCGTTGCGCTTCGCTGACTACTGATGAAACACAATCAAAGCTTCTAGAGCATCTCGTAACAAGGCAGTTCAGTTTTATTTAAGCACTGCCCCACAAAAGCGCTCAAGTCACCTTAACACAGCGAATGCCTCAGTATCCGGCATTGCTTTGGAGTTGCTCACCTGCACGATTGATCTTATCTCTGCTATCAGCACAGCGAGTCGGCTAGTGAGCTCACCACTTCGTACAAGAGAGAATTGATGCACACGTGACCGAACCAGTTGAAATGCCAGTTACAATTGGCACCGGGTGCGCACACTGAGATTGGTGGTGATACCATACTCAACACGCTGAGGCTTATCTACCTGCATTATCACAGACTTGTCATTTCTTAGATTATTCTGACGTTGGTGAGTCCGACAGAAAAATTATATCAATAACGTATGTAATGAAGCAACTTTCCTATCGTTTAGTACAGTTGATTTTAATCGGAATTCTATTCAATTAATATGAACTATGAGCTTCGATCAAAAGCTCATTTTTTAAGAAGTAACTGCGTCAAAATCACAGAAGAATTGAAGAGAAAAACCGGTTAAACAAACTGAAAAGCGGTGAATGTGTAGAATTTTGGTCACTGTAATCAGCACATCCATAAGGATCAAGTCTATTAGCAGCGCCTGGGAGACACCAAATTGTGGAACATTGCCGCCTTATTCATGAAACTTTTGAAGTCACCAAAATGCATCTCTTGTTCAGACAATTACTATGAGTTTATTGTGGATTCTACATCACACGAGAATGATCCTGATATATTTAGTACAATCCGGGAGAGGCTTGAGCTGTGCCTGTGGATCATTATAGGGGATATAAGAGAAAAGTTTCAATTTTGTTAGAGCTGGTCTGAGATTTTTGAACTGATAAGAAATATGAATAGAGAAATAGTTTTTGATAGAAAAATGGAATCCAAAAAGACAAGCTGAAAAAGAAATAGTAAGACCACAAAGATGGCACCAGAAGCGAGAGCAATAGTGATAATAATAATGGTACTAAAAAGTAGAAGCTGTGAAGGAATGGTTCGAGAAATGCAATCAATCAACCAACCATATAGAACGATTCTAGAGGGCAATTGTAGTAACCACAATATAATTTTTCCTCAACAAAGGCTTGCTAATAGAACATTTGTAACAGTTCCGAAACAAATCACGCCTAAAAGCAAACAAGACGCCTACAATACTTCAAACCCTCATTTTTCTAGATCGATTCATTGTTTTAGCCAAGCCGTTATCTCATAAAAACAAAGAAATCTAAAAGATGGTACCCAGCATACATAGTCCGAAGACTTGAACAGGATAAACACAAGGCCTGATGAGACATATATACGCAGAATTGTAAAGCGGTGTGAAGCGGGAGGATTATCAAATTCGACAAGCAGGAGGTTCGATTGTAAAAACACTTCAGTCAAATGTATGCACGAGTGAGATCGACATTTGAAAAGAGTAAACTGGTTGTTCGTAGTAATTTTAAGGCAATTAGATCCGTGCATTCGTGCGTTGCACAGCTAGGTGTCGCATGTGGACAACCGAGAGATAGTGATAGCGTGCCAGGTTTGCACGCCTTGCGATGCTTTCTACAAACATTTGTAATCTTGATCATCATCGTACAGCGAAATATAATGAAACGAACTTCACTGATCGCTGCCAAACTCGCAATGCACACAAGGTTAGAGGTAACATTTAAGGTGGACAGAGATTGGATCTATTTTGACAGAGGGAGGAAGAAGGTCAACCTCTATGGTCAACACAGAGTACACAAACGAACTCAGCATACATACCGTTTCAGGCGTTCTGGCCGGATAAGAAATGACAACAAAAACGTCACTGCTGTCGGTTCGCTGCCATATCCTACAATGTCTCCAACCAACCAGTCGCGGAGTCTTTCGAACCCCAACCAGGAAGGGGTATGACACTTACCCTACCTAATAGCTCTGTGCATTTCTTCATGTTTACCAGGGGTAAACTCATCATGTCCTCGGACGTTTTTACTAATCGTCCGAGATCACTGAGTTGCGTGTTAGATATCTGCAACTATCAGGTGCACCCGGTATCGTACAGCCCAACTGACAGCAGACTTAGGGCAATCTGCTCCATTCAAGCAGGACCTAGGAAACAGAAAGGAACCTAACCCGAAAATAACTTTCTAAGTTTCAGAGTGGCCCAGGGCTGTTACCGGTCACTCTTCCCTCGCGAAGTGCTTTCATATAACGAAGTGTCTCAACTGTCCCCCACTGATGAAGCCCTACGCAACGCCTTAGTAGTAGGCAGCATTACTATTGCCTGGTTCAATACCACGCCTAATCTAGCGGGGCCTGATGTGGTTCCCTACTCCTGGTACTCCGGTCACCCCGTTTACATCATTGAACAGCAGTTTTTCCTGACTATGGGATCTATCTGTCTGCTGGTCATCGCACAAAAATGCATGTAATAAAAAATTGTGGCGTAGATTTCGAACGGCAGCGAGGACGAAAAATCAACATCAGGGTCTATAAACGGCTCGGTAAACCATAGGCTGTCCACCTAGGGTAGTTGGCTACACCGGAAACTCCTTACCTCTTCATAGTGATGAACTCAAATAGACCTCATCGCCACCAGCTACCACTGAAGACTGCCGCTCTCGCTAGTCAACACTCGTGATTATGGATCATGCTCTATAACGAACCAGATTTGCCCGCGCCCGGGAAACACTCGCAACAGAGAAGGATGAAATGAATGCCAACAATACAACGTAGGTGACATTTGAAAATCGGCCTTCGAGGTGAAGCTTTCTCACCGTCTCTTAGCTCAACCATCCGCCGCAATACGTAATGGACACTGAATGCTTATGAAGAAAGCTATACAAACGTATATCACAAAAACGGTTTGTTCTGGCACACAATCAGAGCACAAACATTGGATCTTCTCGACTTAAGCTGTCTTGCCGGATGCTGGTGGAACCAATCATCCAGAGACCGAATACGATAGCACGCGAATCCCTCGAAAGCCGGCTCATTAGCAGCCTGAGGAGTGACAGCTAGAAGTGGAGGGTAGGAAAGTGCTGAGAGATATAGAAGACTACCGCTATCGGCAATAGTCATGTGTTATCCAGCAATTACAAGAGAATGGTGTAAACTGCGTATAAACTTTTTGGCAAGCCGTCGAGTCTGGATGAAGACATGAAGAATCAACGCGCTCTAAAAAGCTTCAAAATACTTAGGGAAAATGCACTTTTGTCAAAAGTAGATTTATTATTATCGTCTTCATCCGTATACGCATAGCAAAAGCACTGGCGAAATTTCGTTATTGGGCATATTGAGGCGTAGAAAGAGGGCTGTATGATCAAAGCATGTCCCGAAGTGAGATGGAGTATAGTAGAACTGAAAGTAAATATGCACATTTTTGCTCATTCGAAGGCCTTGAGATACTCTTCAGCACACTGACGAGCTCTGGAATTCACAGCCAACCGCATTTCAGAAATCTCCTTGTCAATCTCGTTCATGAACGTGATGATGAAATCCACCAGTTTCGATTTGAACATTTGTTCCGTGTGAAAGTTGGTGATAAGAAAACTGATATCGTAGCCCTGAAGCAGAAAGAAACCAAATTTACAAACACAAGCGGATTAGGTTGATGATTCGATTAGATCAGTAGAGTGCAGTAATGCATTTTAAGTCAATTGATGAGATTCCCGAAACGCATTTACAGCGATCACAAATCAAGAGGTCAAGCCTGTTTTAAAATCAACAAAATAAGCTGGATCCTGACTGACAATCTTTCAGCCTTTGCCTTCACGCACGGTCCCCGATTCATTCAGTCAACAGGAAACTCGGGAGGGACTACATTTGATTTCTACTCTTCTCACGTCTCATCAGCAATTTTCAATTGAATTCTAGTTCGTGTTTTTATTTTTTAACTTCTACACGACTATCTTCTGGCGGAAGACATCAAAATGCATCCATAGATTCTCAAGAATACAACCTTACATGGTTTAACCATCAAAGTTGGGTCTTTTACATGAAACTGTACCGTTAGGCTTCACTCATTGAAATACAACTTGCAAACCAACAGGGAAGTTACAAAGAAGCTAATGAACAAATTTAGTTTATTTGCCTAATCCGGAGTGCCTTGTCGAGTAGATGGAATAGAACAAGGGACGATGGTCATGTGAGCGTTGTCCTTGAAGAGTAACGCAATAGCATGACTTCGAGTGCAACTTTTGCACTATCCTTGTTGGCTTCTGGTTCTGAGAGTTCGGCGGTAAGAGACGATTCTGAGCTGAGTTCGCGAGACATAACACACCTGCCCGCGACCTGGGTATGCGCAACGCAGCATTTCTCTCTCTCTAAAGTTTGGAACACTGAGCAGGTCTCCTCCTCATGGGGAGATCGATTGTTGTCTCCATTTTCAAAAGGGCCCGCGCAGTAACTGCGCCAACCATAGGAGTATAAGCTTCATCCCGATAGCGTCAAAGCTGTTGGCGTCCGTCATTCTCCGCCGATTGTATGCTATTCGTGAAGTGCAGACCCGCGNGAGTAGGCTGGGTTTCGCGCCGGTCATAGATGCATCGATCAAATCTTTACCCTCCGACAGCCCCTAGAGCACCTAACAAAGACTAACAGTCATTGTGTTGTTAGACATCCGCGCGGTCTTCGGTTCTGTCGACAGGACTGTACTATGGAACTGTCTGTTGAGGAATGGAGTACTTGAGAAATATGTATCGATCCTCAGAGTTGTATCATCATACCTCGGGTCGAATTAGGGCCTTCACCGTATCCCGTGGATTTCGACAAGGCTAACTTATATCCCCATTCCTTTTCAACTTCGTCATGGAGGATGTTCTACAGAATGCTTTATTTGGTCTAGCAAACGGTGGAGTTGAACTCCTCCCAGGGAACAGAGTCCTTGACTTAGAATATACCGATGATATTGCCTTCGTGGATGATAATACGCAGGCGGCCCCAAACGCTTTGAACCGCTTGGCGATCGCGGTAACCAGATATGGTATGTGCTGTGCACCTTCCAAGTGCAAAGTGCTTGTTCAAGACCGGCAGGAGCCTGTGCCTGCACTTAACCTCTTTGGTGGTCAGTTGAAAGTAGTTGGGAGCTTCAAGTGCCTCGGGAGCTTGATCGCAGCTGGTATTGGTGTTAGGGAGGAGATTACATCACGAATAGCGAAAGCTAGAGCAGCTTTCGCAACCTGCGACGCCGCCATGACATCCGACTGTCCCTTAAGGGAAGGGTGTATATCGCCATGGTTCGTAGCCTTCTGCTTTACGGTTGCCAAACCTGGTACCGCGTTGAGGATGTTAATCGACTTTCTGTATTCGACCGCCGATGTGTGTCTGGTGGGAACACCGGGTGAGTAATAACGAGGTCCGTCGTCGTGTTGGGTGTGGATAGTCGTCCTCTAACAGATTTAATCGCCCTACACCGCCTCTGATGATTTGGTCATACCTGCCCATCGACTACTTTTCTGCGCTCTCTTTGCACGTACCGAGCGAGGCTGGAAGAACCGCCTCGGCGGTCAGACCATGACGCGGCGTTGAGGTATGAAGAAGCTGGGTTTAGCTT